CTAAATTTCTTCAACAGCCAGTACACAGGAAGCGCTGTACTTCATTAAGGCTTGCTGTCTCTGTTTTTACTACTTCTGTTTTACAGGTCATTGACAATATTCTCTTCAGTCACTCTAATTCTATTCTGCCTTTTCTTTCAGGGTACATTTAGACTCCTTCAGCAACTCTCAGAGAAGTAAATGTGTTCTGCTGACACTGTCCCCAGATCTTGAACTTTCTGAATTCATACTTTTGCATTATCTGACCCACTGAAAAAAAATAATCTGTTATTAGGACCAATACAAACAGAACAGATTTTACACATGCAAAATGGCAATGCAAACTAAAACGTCAAATCATCTGAATCTGAACACAGAATTGTGCATGACACCCAGATATTCTTCTATTTTTTTATCTATCTACAATTCTATTCTATCTATAGATGACAACACAGGGTATTATTAGTCATAATTGAAGTGAAAGTAAAGCAAGAATCGAACTCTTTAACATATATATATGTAGATAGTCATTTCAACTGCTCATAGTTTGCTTTTCACTTTAATCCAAATTCAACAGAATGATACATTATGGGTTTGGAAGTATGGAGAAATTAACAATGTATTGAAGCTCTCTTACATGACTTGGACTCCGGTGATGGTGGAGAAATGTTGGACACGGCAAGGTCGCTCTTTGACTTTTTAGGCTTTTTTGCATTTACCTGCCAAGGTTTATCATAACTTCTAAAATCTCTCCTTGTTCCTTTATTTTCTGTTAAAAGAATCGAATCAGGCAATTATAACATTCGTAGGGTCATTTTACAAAGACATAATAAACTATTAATCCAGAAAAAACAAGAACTATCAGTCCAAAGCAAAGTCAGTTATTTTTATTCTCCTATATCTGATTTATGTTAAATTTCATATATTTCTTCCATTTCCTAAACATCAAAATTTAGAAATTCATTAATATGTTTTTCATTAAAAACATAACATCCTATTTTTTGTTATGAAAAAGTCCTTAACCTCTATTTATTCTCTTACATGTTTGCCTGTGCTTAAAACTTTACATTTGATATAAATCAAAAGTTGATATGACAGGCAACTAACATTTTGACTACTGGTAACTATTTGAGATCTATTATAGTCTGAAACAGATCATCAGTCAGTTTTTAAATACAAAACCAACATTCTAATAGTAGCTCATACCAGAATATCAAAGCTAAAATTTCTACTTTAGAATCAGAGGAGATATTATTTCAGAATTTTTTTTATGCTTCTGAAGATCTACAATCATAAATTATTCACACTGGAGTTCATAAAGTAGTAATAAGTGTTGGAATGACGGGTTGTTAAAAAATGTGTGTTATTAAAGAAAATACCTCGACAGAGGCTAATTTCAGGCACAAACACACCATGGGAGAGAAAAGGAAAAAAAGCAAAGCAAAAGGAAAAGCAAAGAGGACAGCAGGGGAATCCAGGGACCCTCATATGCACCTTCTTTTTCATTGAGCCAGAATTGTTTCCACCCTGTAACTCTGACCCATACTCCCATGATACGTACGTAGGTTGAGCTGACAGCCAACTATATATTAAATTCAGTATCTCCTGGATTAACAGGATTTACTGTGCATGCTCAAAACCACAGGGTAGTACCTGTTCAGTAGATAAACGTGCATTTTGAAAACCATGGATGAAAGTTTGGGCAGATTATACTGGAGACTAGCCCTTTCCAGCACAGAACATACCTGATGTTTCACTCTCTGCCCAAAGGGCAGCAGAGCCAGACAACGTTCTCTGAAGCTGACTGCGGTTCCCCTGTTTGGACTGAAGATGATCAATTAGAAATGGAATTGGCTGGTCGGGTGTCTCTGTTATCAGCTTGGTCATCAACTCCTTTAGAAAATTAAAACAAAACAAAAAATTAGTGGGATATTCCACCTGAACTAATCGTGCATTTCCCAAAAGTAAAGGAGCATTTCTAAAAGAGAAACCTGTTTTCAACTTTGAAGAAAACAGCTGGAAACACCCATCTCCTCAAACTACTGATGGCTTTGCCCTATGAAGTGTTAATGTCTGAGGTGCTCTTAGTGTATGTGGTCATTTGCCAACTGGAATTTATATTAAACAATCTGACCTCCGCTATTTGCTCAAGTTTACCCCAAACAATCAGAATACCATTCATTTAACCAGTCAGAACAAGCACATTTTCAGACCACTGAGTATCTCTGCTCTGACCCACACATTCAAGTTTCTTCACGTTGGAAATTGCTGTATCAGGAAGGTCGGTGCATTTTTGATCTCACCCAGAGATGGAACCACAACCTGGTTAGAAAACTCATTCATATCTGGGAATGCCAGGGTCTGATAAAACAGGCTGACATTTTTAAAGCAACTCCTCTAAAATATTACTGTATAGACATGAGTAAGTATTTTATTACACTGCTGCAGACACGGATACAAACCCAATGACAACAGGAAACCACTTCCTATGCCATTGATACTATTTAATTGCTGTTATACACCCTGGCCTTGCAGGGCCAAAGGAAGAGAAGCACTTTCCATAATGCTGCTGAGGTTCTTCCTGGCTCCCCCCACATAAATCACAGATTAGGAAACCAGAAATAAGATATATCTCTGTACTGGGCATGTGCCTTGAGAGGAACTCAATGACTAAAGTAGGAGGTGACCCTGAAATCCCCATAGTTCTACAGGAAATCTGTGGCTGCCACTGCAAAACAAAAAAGCTCCACAGAAGTAAGAAAGTTACAGGAAAATACAACAAAAAAAAACTTGCTAAGTTATTAAGTGCATTTATTCTCTCTTCATCTATCCCCAAGTATAAATCTTACCATAATTTCCACACACTTAAGTCTATGTCCACTTCGACATTTCCACACAAGTTCATTTAATAAATAATTTTTCAAATACTGGTAATTATTTGGTATTACCATCAGTTAATTGTGTACTAACTACTTAAGAGGTAGTAGACCAAATAACAGTAAACATGAATAACAGCATGCAGGATTATTAAGACACAGGAAATTATCGTTGTCCACTCCAAGCCTTTCCATTCTTTCATTCAAGTGGTGGTATAAAGAATCAGGGATAAGTGAAAATCAAACAGAAACAAGCTTTTCATTTCAGAAGGCAAAATTTAACTTCAGAAAACAAAAAGGAGAAAACATGCCCTGCCTCATGTCTTTGTGAAGACATGATGATCTGTGACATGGCTTTTGAAAACTACCTTCAGGGACATCCCCTCCCCAAAAAAGCGTCTTTGGTTTTGAAATGGAACTCCACAGGGAGAAATTCTGCTACTTACTAATCTTAGAAATTGTAAAGCTACGGAGTGTATCTCCATCTAGACTGTCTCTCACCAAGGTAGGAGAAACCCTCCAATATACTTCATACAAGAAAAATCCAGAAATTGGAGTAATTCATATTTTGGTTGCTTGGCAACACTCTAACAGCAAACCTTTCTTTTTTTCCCTGCCAAAATGAGGAATCAGTGACAAGTGGAAAGATGTAAGCTTGTGCTTGTAACGGACCACAATAGCTGTAGGAGTCCCACTGCACAGGATTCTATCACCAAAGGAAGAGTGTCAACCTGTGATAGCTGACTTGTAATTTAAATCATTTCTCTGAATTGTGGTTTGAAAATGATTTTTCTGTCTTAGATTAATAAAAACAAGATTATGAGAACTGAGCTACATGCACTGATACTATTATTTTTTTTAATTACTGAGGTGACAATCTATTAATAATACACTATAAAATTAATTAAAAAATAATACAGAGATGAAAAATTTTATAATGCCTACGTGTCAATATAAGACAAATGCTACCTGGTTGTTGCCATCACTAACTTGCTTGTCACAGGAAGAAATGGTCTTTAATTAACATAAACAGACCTAATAAAATGAAACTGATTATAGGATTCTTTACCTTATTCTGAGACGCAGCAATAACACTAAAGAACATAATTTTACAAAGTACCAAAAAAAAGAAAGTGCTATTCCACAGTGATGTGAAATTCACTCCTATTCAAAAGGACCACTTTTTTATCTAATGATAACATAAAATCATAGAATAGTTTGGGTTGGAAGGGACCTTGAAAGGTCATCTTCTTCAACCCCTCTGCAATAAGCAGGGACATCTTCAACTAGATCAGGTTGCTCAAAGTCCCCTCCAACCTGACCTTGAATGTTGCCAGGGATGGGGATCCACCACTTTTCTGGGAACCTGAGCCAGTGTTTCACCACACTCATTGTAAAATATTTCTTCCGTATATCTAGTTTGAATCTACCCTTTTTAATTTTAGAACCATTACTTCTTGTCCTATGACAACAGGCCCTGCTAAAAAGTCTAATATCTAGTCTGAATCTACCCTCTTTTATTTTAGAACCATTACTTCTTGTCCTATCACAACAGGCCCTGCTAAAAAGTCTGTTCCCATCTTTCTTATAAGCCCCCTTTAAGTACTGAAAAGCCACAATAAGGTCTCCCCAGAGCCTTCTCTTCTCCAGGCTGAATAACCCCAACTCTCTCAGCCTATCTTCATAGGAGAGGCGCTTCAGGTCGATGATAATTTTTGTGGCTCTCCTCTGGACCTTCTCCAACACGTCCATGTCCTTCCTGTGCTAAGCATTCCAGAGCTGGACACAGAGTTCCAGGTGGGGTCTCACCAGAGTGGAGTAGAGGGGTAAAATCACCCCCCTCACCCTGTTGGCCACGCTGCTGGGGATGCAGCCCAGGATACAGTTGGCTTTCTGGGCCACCAGCGCACACTGCCAGCTCATGTCCAGCTTTTCATCCACCAGTGCCCCCAAACCCTTCTTGGCAGGGCTGCTCTCAATCCCTTTATGCCCCAGCCTTGATACTGGGGGTTGCCCCGACCCAGATGCAGGACCCTGCACTTGGTCTTGTTGAACCTCATGAGGTTCACACGGGCCCATGTCTCGAGCTTGTCCAGGTCCCTTCTGGACGGCATCCCACCCCCGTTGAACCTCATGAGGTTCACACGGGCCCACGTCTCAAGCTTGTCCAGGTCCCTTCTGGATGGCATCGCACCCCTCAGGTGTGTGAACTGCACCACTCAGCTTGGTGTCATCTGCAAATTCGCTGAGGGTGCATTCAATCCCACCGTCTGTCACTGATGAAAGTATTAAACAGTACTGGTCCCAGTATGGACCCCTGAGGGACAGCACTTGTCACCGATTTCCATCTGGACAGTGAGCTGTTGACCACTCCTGTCTGGATGTGACTATCCAACCAATTCCTCTGAACAGTCCAGCCATCAAATCCACATCTCTCTAATTTAGAGAGAAGGATGTTGTGGAGACAGTGTCAAAGGCCTATTAGTAATAAGGCCTGAGTGATGTAGAGATCTGTGCTGTTCCAGAGCATAATCAGTTCTATTCTGTGATAGCAATTAGAAAAGTTAAAAGAACTAGAGATACAAGCTACTTTTATCTATCTAGACTAACGAATTAGTTGTACCAATCCTGTACACCTAAAGCAAAAAAGAAGTAACATTGCTGGAATCCTCATAAACTGAAAATAGTACGCAGATCAAAAAAAATACTACTTATTTGAGTAATAAGCCTCAAACTGATTTGCCGCAAGCGCTTTCAGAGGTGTCATTAAAAGTAAATACAACTTCAAATAGCACAAAGGTGACTCAGATTATGAAGCTGGCCATTTAAAGAAGAGATAGTGCTTTACTATGAGTATTCTGTTGCAAAAGTATAATGAACAAGCTCTTAGGAATTTGCTTCTCAAGCTGCTCCAAGCAAGGTGTGAAAGTGGTCTCTAACTTACCACAGCTGGGTTCCCAAAACGGGCAGAATTTGCAAAGAACATCTCCATGCCAACCAGCGATAACAAAAGCTGTGATAATAGTTTCAGATGTATTCTCTGAGTAAATCCCCATTCACATACAGGAGGTGTTATCTCCTTCCATATCCTCCTGCCACACACACTGTCAGAGATTCCAGAAGTAGGATCAAAACTCCATGATCCCCACCACCTTTGCCCTCCTACCGAATTCTGTCACCCAGTCCATCAAGGGACATAACTCCATCTGCTCAGGCCCCCCTTCAAGCTCAAGCTTCCTTTGAGCCTCTTGTCATCCCCAACAAATTGGCAATTACAAGGAAATACATCACCTGTCTGTGTTGTGTTGCTTGGCCATGCCATGGGGTGGAGGGCTGGGAGGGGCAAGAGGAAAAAAACAAACCAACCAAAAATGACCCAAGAAAAAAAGTAAAAAATGTCACACAGGCAATAATTTTACCTAGTGAGCACTCAGCTCATTTTTTAAGTAAAAACATATACTTGCCTGCAGGTGAAAAGACATTGCCCCAGATAGACATTCCTTATCTGTATTCTCATCTAGCACCATTCCTTAGTAAGAGAAAACCTATCATAAACTTCTGATTAAATTACCCAAAGTTTATTTCATGTTCTCATCTGTTGCTTGGATGACATCTTCATAGACAGCAGGAATAGCATACTACATGGTAGTCTAAATATACTCTTACGAGTTTTAAATGTTTCAAAAAAAGATGACAAAAGTGAAGGTATTAAATAAGAAAAAGCAAAGTGTACAACAAGTTACAAAAATAAAATTCCTTTTTGGTGAGCAGCAGTCTGATCTGACTCACAATGTGCTAAGTAGGCAAGGTTTCACAAGAAAAAGAAAAGAAAAAAGACCAACTAGTCTCAATGAAGCCGCCTCTGCATTAACAGCAGAATAAAAATGGTACAAGATCATTGAAACTGAGATCCATTTCCTGATGAAAAATTCAACAGATAAGTTTCATCTATGCATAAGAACAAAAATGTAAGATACTTATATACCTCTTAAAAATATTAACTATACTTTTTTGCCT